CTCTGAAACCTGACTGAAACTCTTCAAATTAGCCATTCCTCTGCAGATGATCTGTTAGCTGTTTGACAACTACTCTTTCAAGGATGTTTGATATGAAAGGAAGGTTGGAGATTGGCCTATAATCACCTAAGACTGCTGGGTCTAGAGATGGCTTTTAGAGTAAAGTTGGAAATGTCTCCAATTTCTCACAATCAGTATGCAGAATGTGGATCTCCACAAAGACTGTGGAGAGCTCGTCTGGCACTCTAAGTCCACACTTGTCTGCACAAAACCTCTCACACGTTCCCATCACAAGTGTCTTCTAAGTGAAGCTATTAGGTTCAGGTCCAGCTTGTTTATCTGGAGCTGCAGTAGATGAGTGATCCATCCACACGTGCACATTTTCCAAAGCAACACAGACAGCAGATATGCCAACGCAGCATCATACAACACAACCAAGAAATCCAAAGAAATGTCTCTGCATTTCTGTGGCTGATGCTGCTGGGATGAAGCTGTGTGAAACATTGTTATTCTGCACTTTGGGACCAGAAGAGCAAACTGAACCTCTGTGCAGAGGGTTCAATGGAAGCAGCCAAGTGCTGTAAGTGTCATCTGTACAGGGATTCTGGTTCAGCTGTGGTTCAGCACAGTTTCACAGTGTGACTCAATAAAAGCAGCATGAAATAAAAACATGATGCTGTCATCAGTGTGGAAATAAGAAAGTTTCCTTTAATGTGACAGATGCTGGAGCTCTTTCACTCACAGCTTCACAGTTTCAGCTTTAAACTTCAGCTTTTTTTGTAGCTTTAGTTTAGAGCCTTCACCACAGTCCCACTGTCGGCCTCCCGAATTGGGAGTTTTTTTTGTTTGTTTGTTTTGTTTTTTTTTAGACTTTGGTGTTTCTTCTTAAGGTTTTTTTATTTTATTTTACACAGTAAAACTTGATGACTTTTTAATGTTTTTATGATAAATGTATGACTTTAATGTGAACTAATCAGTTTTTTCTTTTGTTGTGCTTGTTTGAAGCTGCTTCCTGTTGGCTTCAGCTGTTTGGAGCTTCCATTTTCTAAACTTCTACATTCTGAACCTTCTTCAGCTCTGAACAGATGATGAAACACTGAATGATTTCAAGCACTTTGTCTAATAAACTTACATCTTTCATTCTTTATACAGGTTGGAGCGTTGTGGTTTGTCAGAGATCAGCTGTGATTATCTGGCAGCAGTGCTCCCCTCCCATCTGAGAGAGCTGGACCTGAGCTACAACAAGCTGCAGGATTCAGGAGTGAAGCATCTGTGTGGTTTTCTGGAGAGTCCAGGATGTGGACTTGAAACTCTGAGGTCAGTCAGCATGTTTTAGTTGTGCTGAGATGAATATGATGTGAAAGTTGTGTTGACACTAAACTGCAGACATAAGGCTGATATTATACTGATCCACACTGAGCATCTTCATGGTAAAGTCTGTTTCCTTCTTCTCTGCTTTCGTCCATTGTCTGAAGCAAAACAATGCTGACATTTCTAACAGTGATAATCAACGTATGGCCCGCGGCCCACACGTGGCCTGCCAACCTTTCCTAATTCAGAGAGAGGGGACCCTGATTAACTGTGTAGCGTTCTTTGATAGGTCTGTGTAGCACAGGCCTACTGCTGGAACGCAAAGACAATTCTACTACAACAGCCAAAGTAAGACGCAAGTCACCAGTGCTCTTTGTGTTGCTCGTGCATGAGGGAGAGAACTGTAACAAGCGCCGTTCCTTCCGCTCGAACCCCAGTCACTCAGTTAGCTCCTCCGTAGCACTGCTCTTTAAGATAAGATAAGATAAAACTTTATTCATCCCTCGGGTGGGTTCCTCTGGGAAATTTGTTTTCCAAAAAGCACAGCACCGACATAAGTTACAGAGTTAAGAATATTATATATATATATATATACACACACACACACACATATATAAATACAAAGACATAAAATATACAAAGGGGATAAATAGAATAAATAAAAATAAAAATAAAAATACAAGTGAATTGCACATTCAAGTATGGAGTCTATTGCACCGCTGATTATTAACAAAAAGTATTGCACAAAAGGTGATTGCACAGTGAAGTGGAGAGGCACTACAGCTTAGTTGTTCCTTTATTGTGGTTACATGAATATATAGGTTCATTGACATATGACGTCTTACACAGGCATACATATGAACAAAGAGTACCAGTCTGTGTATACGTGCAAGTGTGTGTTTCTGTCTTTCTGTGTGTGTGTGTGCCTGTCTGTGTGTGGTCAAGATTTGACCCTGTGAACGACTCCCCAAAGCTGGTGCTAGGAGCACAGCGGTCCACCTAAACAAAGGGCTCTTATACTAAAACAGAATTGGTGTCCTCCTACACCATAAATCAGTAAGAGAAGGTGCGACCTCTCTCATGACCTTAGGATGTGTGTGCATATGTCAAAGTGCTCTGGGAGGCACACAGTCTTTGCAGACTGCTAAGGATAAGACCTCTATCATTATACAATTGATTATATAGCTCTAAACGTATATGAGTATATGTTTTTAAGCAGAAATGACAATCCAACAATATAAACCTAACATTCTTCCTCACAATTCTAAGTATCAGACACAACAATGAATAATCCACAGCTGATTCTCTTTAGCAGGTCAAAGGTCATGGCACACAGCAATCTGTGAAACAGGCTCAGCTGAAATCTAATATCTTAGGCTGTGTGAGTAACTGTGTTTGTTCGTGAAGCATTTTTTAGTGTGCAGTATTATTAAACAGGAATTAAAACACTGAGCAGAGCAGAGCAGAAGAATTCTGTATCTTCACTGCGGGTACAACTGACAAAGACCCAGTCACAGTGAACAGGAAGTAGTGTTGGGCGATATGTACAAGTTTTCTACCTGACAATCGTAAGTCCAATAATCAATGATGGGCGATATGCGCAGACTTTTTGATGGGCAGAGCAATATAAGACTCCTCCAAATGCGTCCTCCTTTCCCCCAGATTTGAAGGATGGTCACGTGCATCCTTCGTGGCCTACCATATCCCAGAATTCATAGCGTGTCCCAGCCAAATCCAGTTCCCAACAATGGCGGCAGGGATGGCTGTAGCTCAGGTTGTAGAGCAGGTCAGCTACTAACCGGAAGGTTGGTGGATCTGCTCCAGTCTGCATGCCAAATATCCTTGGGCAAGATACTAACCCCAGGTTGCTCTCTGATGCATCCATTGGAGTGTGAATACTCCGATGGATTAATGCTAGATATTGAGCACTGAATAGCTTGTGTGCTTTTAAATGTGCTAGTAACGTGTTTCTGACATTTTCGGAGAGATGTCTGTTACCTACCAGCTCGATAGCTAGCCATAGGTTCACAGCTCACTAGAGCCGGAGAGAACAGCGGACTCCCGGCACATTGTTTTCAAACCCCCGCAGCCTTTCGCTATTCAGGTTAAACATGATATATGAGTCACTTAGCCAAACAACATTTTTTAATTATCTATTTTCAGACGTTTAGTGCGAGCAAAGGACTGAAGCACGACTAACTTGCACGAGCATGTACGTGTCTACCATCCGAATGGTTTTTTTGAGGCTACTGCCCTTCTTTCTTTCTGTCGTGAGTAAATGAATCACTTCATTTTAGCACACTCTGAGGAGGTATTTGCTCGCAGATAAATGACGGGTGCCATTAAAACAGTGCTAGTATTTTTCTTTTTTCTGTTGACTGCTGCATTACCAAACATACTCATGGGCAAATAAATAAATAAATAGCAATTGATATACATCGATATATTCGTCCAATTGCCGAACCCTAACAGGAAGTCCTTTTCATTGGAGCGTAGTAACCATGGAAACCACTGATTACTCTCACTCCGTGCATAGGTGTAGTGATTTGTCTTTAGTCCAGAAATAATCACATCTTCCATTCTTGTATACTGCTCCAAATCTTCAACTCTTTTTTTTCCATCTCTTAAATCTTCTTGTCTTTTTCCTTAATCACAATCTTTAGTTGTCTTACTTCTTCAATTAAGTCCAGTAGTCCTGCTTGCTGTTTCACCACCTTACTCAATTCCTCTGACATGAAGTTAAGAGACTTCTTAACTTCTTCAATATCTTCTGTTAGCCTCTTAGTTGTCATGTTTCTTGATCACCAATTTAAATTCTTAGAAGACAAAAATGAATTCCAGGCTCCAGGTAATCTAATAAGCCAGGTGTTACTTGTAGAGCACGTGATGAAAAAAGGGACCCTAAACTTCAAAGTTCGTGGAAATACTCACACAAAATGAAGCAGAACTTCTTTGTGAAGATAAGTCTTAACCAATCTTTTATATGTTAAGTTCTTTTCGTGATGATTGTTGGATTGCTAAGAGTAACAAACACAGTTTTCCCAAT